ACCACCACCACCACACACACACACACACACACCTCATTACTGAGATTCTGATAGTGCTGATAACAACTGTAGTGAGAAATGGTGAAAAACTGAAGCCTTCTTCACAACCAAGTACGGTCTGTAATAAATAGTTTACTTCTCCAGCGAGACCTGAATCTGATGTCATTTATTGTTCAGGAAGAGAAATGAATGATACTGGTTCTGATTCAGATCCGCTTAATGGTTTTGGTTATTTAATAAGTTTGTTAATGACCATTTTAGTACTTTGGAGGAAACACACAAATATAATGTTCCTGATAATCTCCTGTGGCAAACTTCTGTCTAATATTGCTGCAATTGTAAAATATCACACCCTTAAAAACTCTCTGGATAATAATAATGTTTTCTAACAAATCTCACAAGAAATCATCACAGACACAATGTGCGTTTTATTTCAAAACAAGTTAGATAACAAACCAAATTATTTCATTTGTTGTTTCAGACGTATGGTAATCCTCGTTCCCTGAAGGAGGGAACGGAGACGTCACGTCCCGTCGCCACTGCTCCTGTACCACCGCTGAGTGGCCGGGTCACCGTCTCGGCTCCTCAGTGAAAACCTGAATATGCGCTGCATCTGCTGCCTACTTATACTCACGCTGTGATCAGCGGCAGCTGGATGCAATAATCGCATGCCAATGTGCATTGGCTCGTTTAGTTTACACTCGAAGTAGATTGGTCTCTCTAAGCGAGATCCCAATTCGTCGGTCATCCGACGTGACGTCTCCGTTCCCTCCTTCAGGGAACGAGGGTTACCATACGTAACCGAGACGTTACTTTGTGACTTAGATCCATAACAGAATAAGATTCGAATTCCTGACGACTCGTTTAGGCGATTGCGAGCCGACTCTTTTTTTTTTTGATAGACAATAACTTTATTTATTGTGCACTGTCGGCTTCACAACTTTGCAGATAGTTTATGTTCACATACAGCTACATGACACACTGCATGAAAGGTAATACTCGGAAAGGCATAATAGAGGCACTTTAAGGTGTGATTACATTAACCATTGTTCGTGATATTTCACAGGCGAAAAGCACTCGCTTTAACAGGAATCCACTTGTGAGGGCTGTTTGATTTGAAAGTGACTTCTGTGTGAGCTCTGCTTCATACATCGCTATATAACTGACAATAGAATATTGACCTTTTTTGCTCACAAGATTTTGCTAATATGACCTAACGGCCCTTTAAAAATAAATAAAAAGATCTCTTTTCATTACAATGACAATTTATTGTATGACAGTTCACAGCTGGCAAATTAAAAAAATACATCAAACATTCTATTTATTCTAAGTGTTATAAAGCCATACATCATGAAGGAATGACTTAAGCAAATTTAATACACTGTATTTGTCTTGCATTTAGTTCAACCAGTGATGACAATACGGTAGTGGGGTCTATTTATTGAATTTTGTAGTATTCAAACACTCTTTCTTTCTGTGCTGGAAAGGCCTTTCTTTTATCACATCTAAGGACACAAGAACACAACTGAGCTAAAAATAATTTCTTATGTCATGGCGCAGTACCTGCACTAGCAGAGCCGCAACTGAAGCAGTGCCGGAAATCCTGTCACAGTATTTTAGTACAGCCTTCCTTCCACAAATGGAACATTATGACATTTTTTTTTTTTTTTAAGTGAACTGGTTTGATTTGTATTGTTTGTATTTGTTATTTATTTAATTTTTAGTTAAATTATGTCTGAATGTATTATGTCTGTATAGGTCTTTTATTAAGTTTTAGTTTTATTTAATTTGAGTTATTTTAATACTTCAACAAACTAAATGGAAATTAAATAATATATATA